ATTTGGGAGCACGCAGACACGCCGTAGAACTTTAAGTGCATGTAATACTTTTTCTACGTGCGGTCTGCAGATTTACCACCCGTGCGTGCGAGTACGCGCGACGCGCGTGCCCCGTACAGCCTATGAGCGTGCAACGTACGGACTCCGTGAGTCTAACTTCACTATTCTCACGTGCAATTGCTGTACGGACAGCGCACGAAGCACGTGCGTGCCACGCACGGTGCTTGCGTCATCCGTGCTTACTCCTCACTTCCCAGTTGACCTGCTCAATGACCACGCAGAACACACGTGCACCATACCACGTACTCCGCACGTGCAACGCACGTGCAACGCACCTGATTTCTACAGTATATAAAGACGACTTGACGGGCGGCTGCCAACTCGTCTCCAAGATGTCCAGGAAGGCTCAGAAGAAGACTACCAGACAAGACCCAAAGAAACGGGCCGCGGAAGACACCAGGGCGGCTAGTGATGATGAAGTTAACAGGGGGTGCACCCACTTACGACGTGCGAGTGAGTAAGGAAACCGTGCGTACGCCGCACGTGTAGGTGTGGCCTGTACGCGGCAACGTGGCTATCGCACAGAGATCGTACGTTGTAAGCACGTACAACTCACTTACCACTTGCGCAACGTACGATGCACGCAACCGCTGACGGCCAGGCGTGTCGTGCAGACCACGTACGTACACCTTGCGCAACCGTGCGAGTGACGTACTCCCTCGGCCGGCCACCCTACGTTTGCAGAAAAAACGTAGCAGACGTAGCCACGACAAAAACGTACGGACAAAAGCACGCACGGCGAGTTGTGACCGTCGCTTTAGGTAATGTTTGGAATTTCCTCCTCGTTCAGGTCATGTTTTTCGGTCTGTCACTATGGTGACGAGGAACAGCACAGGACACTGACAGAACTTAAGTGGTGGCTTTTTAAAATATTAATGTCATTGCGTACTGCTGACAATAGTCGGCCTTGCTCCGGAATAATGAGAGCGCGTGTTTTCAGGCGAGTAAAACAGGTGTGACGAGAATATCTCGATGTTGATTACTGTAATTCCTGATCGATTTTTGTCACAGTAAATATGTTCGTTATGTATGTTCGTCACTACTGTACCGCAAACTTATCATTACTTACTTTTCTCTGCAGCTG